TAATCAAGCAAAAGTTCGGCCAAAATACAAAAGCTCGACTTGAGCTGGCTCTTTTTTTTTTTTTCGTGATAAATCTAATTTTTTTTTAAAGAATTTAAATTTTGTACAAATTATATAGGCGCGAATTTAAAATCTATTTTTTTTTTAAATTTTTTAATTTTTTAGCAAGTTCAGCTCGAAATGCCAAAATGGCCCGTGACACGAGCCCACTGCCTGACCCGGCTCGATCCAATGCCCCAAAATCGGGCTCAACCCGAGCCTCGACTCGATGGTCCCGAGCACGAGCCGGGTCGGCTTGGATTTTCCCTGGCCGAACCACGGGCCACCTGAGCCGGCAAAGCCTTTTGACATCCCTACTTGGTTGTCATAATTTTTTGACATCTCATTGCCCTGTCTAAAAAAATAGTTAATATTTTCGTCCAATCATTTTTTGCCACAACTTAATATATCATCCAAGATGTCATCATTATTTATAACATAAAGAATAATGCTACTTTGTCAGAAAGTAGGTGACATGATGATTGACGTACTAGGTGTTGGTAAGATGTGATTGGATTAAAATTTGACTGTATTTTAAACAGAAAAATAATAAATTATCATGTGACATTATACCAAGAATTATGTCAACCATTATGTCTATACAGTATGGTTGAAACCTAAAACCTAAGTTAAGAGTCGAACCTGAGGTAAAACCTAAGAGGCCTAATAATTTTATTTTTTTACTTTTCCTTTTTAAATTCACTTTTTAGCCCAAAGCCTCACATGCATATTGTATTCTTCTCAATTCTGATTCTCTTTGACCGAAAACCTAAAAAAAACACTTCATTATTGAGAATTAAAACATTTCTTCAGCACGGTCTCTCTCACAGAAATTTTTTTCATCAAAAAATTGGTACAATGTCTAATTCCTATAAAATTTCAGTAACCATATTTCATATTTCAATATTTTATCTATTCATTGCATAAATCAAGTTGTAAAACATATGCATTGATAAACTGGCATGTAACATCACAAGAATCAAATGAAATTTTGTTTATAACTGCTGTATTTATATTTTTATGGAAATGTTGACCAATTACTCCATGTATTTCGAAGGCCTTGCAAAGAAATTCATATGATGGTGAAATGCAGTAATGTCTTACCGCAGTAATTTTTCTAGTTTCTGAAAATCAAGTTCCATACAATTATATAAAAATTCGTGAGAAAAATAAAAGCTATCTTGTTACAATTATGCCACAGTAAAGATTGAATAAATTGGTAATGTTATCCATTGAAAAAGAAATTGTTAAACAACTTGACTTATTCAATTGATTAATATTTTAACCACAAGACGATTTGTATTTAAATGATCGTTTAGAACAATTTTTCATTATTATTTGATTGTAATATTTTGACTATTTTATTTTATTGGTTGTTTTATTATTTATTTTAAGTTAATAAATTTAGTTCGGTAAATCTCTTATAAATGAAAAAAATTGATTACTTGTTATAATTTAGGAGTCCAAATTTTAAAGTTCGCCTCAAGCCCATAATTTAGGAGTCCAAATTTTAAAGTTCGTCTCAAACCCTGCAAAACACAAGTACGGCCATGTCCCAATTGTCATGTCAAGACTCAATATAGCCACTCTTTTATTTGCATTCCTATTATCGACCTTTTATTGATTATAACATCTTGTCCCTGATAACAATCACCATCCAAATATTTTTTGTTAACTTGTTTTAAAATGAGAGAGAAATATTTTATCAAACTTTTACATTTTTTAGTTTTTTTGGTTTATTTAGAAATATGATGGATAAATAAGTTTTTTTTTTTTTTTTTACGTCTTCATGATGGTTTTTGTGTATGAAAACTGTCTCAAGGACAGGTCTACTATTTAATAGAAAATTGATCATAAAAAAAGATGAAAATAATAAAAAACATAAGTGTGTGTTTGAGTTCCATTTTTTGGGGGGTAAAAAATGTATTTTGGAATATTGATTTGATGGAGAATGTGTGATTAAAAAATAAGAATTTTTTTTTGAATTTCCTTGTAATATTATTTATTGAAGAATGTGTTGTTGAAAATAAGAGAGAAAAATGTATTTTAAAAATAATGAGTACCAAACAAATGCTAAATATGACAATAAGCAAAAATTGTCAATATAACCATGGGAAAAAATAATTCAGGTGTATGATTTACACCAATTCAAAATTTAGGTAGATAATTTAACAATTCAAAACTCAGGTATTATGTTATTAATTAAAATATTTATTAATTAGGTCACAATTATAAAATTAATGATCACATATACATAATTATAGGTCACAGTTTATTTATTGGTCACATATTATCAAATTAATTAGTCACTGATGATTTCGAGGTCACAAATTCAAAAATTTATAAGTCACAATTAATTTCATTGGTCACTTATTTTCAAATTTGTTGGTCACATATTATTTTTCAGTCACATATTTTCAAATTTTTAGGTCACAGTTAAATATATGATCACAGATAACCAACTATTTGATCACATACCACTGGCACTACCACTTCAACAACTATTGCCCACCCTCACCCCCCCGCCGCCATCACCACCACGGCCACTAACCTCCCCCCCCACACACCAC